TATGCTATGTTGAGAAATTAATTGACAATGATAAACGAGAGAAAAGAAATAAATTTCTAAAGAGAGTCACGCATCGTAGACTTTATAAACTGTTTTATATTTTTGTTTAGGTATGTCCTTACAAGACCTTTACCAAAGATGCAGAGAAGCTTTCCTCGTGAACAGTGATTTAACATTACGTGCTCAGTTAACAGAATTCAGAGATCATAAGCTGATCAAGTCCAAGAAGGTCTGTAAAGTTTAATTCTAATGCAATTGGTTTGTAAAACACATTTTGATTGGCTAATGTGCTTTGTTTGAAGCAGTAAAACGAGCATTAATGAGAGTGAAAGCTTTTCATTGTGACGTCATAAAAGAGCGATGCAAAAACACAATGTGCCTTGACATATTTCATATAATGAAATTCAACAAAACAAGCATTCTGAGAGTATTGCATAAGCAATACATGTCCACTACTGGGTTCCCCTTTTTCTCTAGAATGTCATTTTATAATATGCAAAAGTTATGACCACTGTAAAACTGCTTAATGTTAAAATTTTAAGGTTGTGCATGCCTTTAACCTTAAAAGACATTCCACATAAAGACGAAAATTCAACTCATTTTTTCAACGTTTTTTTTTTACTTCATATTTACCATGTTGACCTTCAGAATTTAGCGCAGCACAAACCCGGCCCCAGGGTCATGAAACAAACTTAGACTTAAGTCAAATTTTCAATCGCCTATAAAATAGTCATTGGTTGAGGAATTAATTTAGAAATTTGCAGATAACAATGCTTCTGTAAAGCAATATTGAAAAATATTTCAATTTTGGTCTGCTAGACCTGAGGTACCACATTTTATTATAAAGTGAAGATTTTGACTTAAGCTTAAGATGTTTCATGATCCAGGGGCCTGGATCTTAAACCATTATGAAAAATTAAAAATACCCTAATTCTGTCAGAAATCAATGAAGCAATACAGCATTCAAACTTGATCTGTAACTCATTAAGATACACTCACATACCAAAATTCAGCTCAATATCTGCAAGTGTTACAAAAAAAAAGTGCGAAAAACCAAGTAGGACAGACTGACAGGCAGACATGGGACAGACGGATGGATGGACTGACTGATGGACGGACGGACTTAAACTTGTGCTGCATAAATTACACTTATGTTTAAAATTATTCAATCCACTTGACACTACAATTAAATATCTTTGAAGTTTGAAGACATATCGATGAAAGAATTATATTATTATACCCCGCTCCGAAGGAGAGGGGGTATACTGTTTTACCCTTGTGTGTCTGTCTGTCCGTCCGTCTGTGTGTCCGTGTGTCTGTCCGAAACAAATTTTCCTTGCAGTTTTCTCAGCAACTACTCATTATAGCAGCTTGAAATTTTAACACAATCTTTACTGAGGCATGCCATATGGTGGGATACATTTTTGTTCAAATCTGATGTCAACTTCCTGTTTGTCTGTGCATCTGTCTGTTTCATACATAACAAGTTTTCGTCACAGTTTTCTCAGCAACTAATCATCGTAGAAGCTTGAAATTTTAACATAATCTTCTCGGAAGCATGCCATATGGTGGGATACTTTTTTGGTCAAATCCGATATCAACTTCCTGTGTGTCTGTGTGATTGTCCGTTTCATGCATAATAAATTTTTGTCACAGTTTTCTCAGCAACTACTCATCGTTTAAGCTTGAAATTTTAACACAATATTCTCTGAGGCATGCCATACGGTGGGATACATTTTTCGTCAAATCCGATGTCAACTTCCTGTTTGTCTTCGTGTCTGTCCGTTGTATACAAAACAAGTTTTTGTCGCAGTTTTCTCAGCAACTACTCATCGCAGATGCTTGAAATTTTTACACAATCTTCCCTGAGGCATGCCATATGGTGGCAAATCAGATGTCAACTTCCTGTTTGTCTGTGCGTCTGTTTCATACATAACAAATTTTTGTCACAGTTTTCTCATTAACTATTCATAGTAGATGCTTGAAATTTTAGTACACTCTTTCTTGAGGCATGCCATATGGTGGGATTAATTTTGATATGAATCTGATGTCAACTTCATATTTTTCTGTTCATCTACCTGTAATTGAACTTGTTTATATTAACATGATAATGTTTATTTAGATTAGAGCGGGGGGTATTACTAGTGAGTATTGGCTCACAGATTTCTTGTTAATTTTTAATTTATATTGATACAAAATTAAATCATAAGGAATACAAGTTATATGTTTATGTAAAAAAAAATGGTTTGAAACAGTTTTCTTTTTTTCCCAACTGTTTTGCAGTTTATAAAGCATGACCTGTTCCAACCTAAGTTGTATTATATAACTAGAGAATATATTGATTTCTTTATTTATATTAAATTTAACTCTCTATGCAAACAGTTCATAACTTCAGTACAAAGTATATTTAATGGAATGCTGAAATAATAAAACAAAGACATATTTTACTATATAGTTCTAGATCTTTTAAATAAATTGAAAAAATATTGATTACTTGCAGGGTTTTGAAGGAATTGAATACCTTGTAATCCCAGTGGACAATGCTACACTAACAGAGTTCATAGAACAGCATGATAGTAATGTGTAACTGAAAGCTGGACTTCAGTTGTGATTCAATTCATCCCAACAAACATAACATTGACAATAAGTTTGGTGCAGTTGTATGTCAAATTAATATATGTGTTTAATATTGAACATTGTTATTTGCAAAAAAAAAAATTGTAATTAACTTATTGGAATTGAAAAATAAATTTAGGAGTATCCATAGGATGATGTTTGCTGTTCATTTGTATGATTGATTTCTGTCTCAGGACTTTTTAATATGACCTTTTAATGAAAAAATACATGTACAGCTGATGTAGGAGTAGCATTGATTTTATTAAAAAGTCCATAAATGATCAATGGGCATGCTGTCCTGCCAATTATATGACCAGGGCATAAAGTGCTCATCAGATATGTCCATGGAATCTTATGTTCTTGATCTGTCTCATCCTTCACACTTTGCATGTTGCTTAATTTCAAACATACACAGATACTTTCAAAAATATGTAATTAGAGGTACATGTATTCAGTAAAAAAAGAAGATAATCAGTAAATAAATCAACACTGAAAGAAACCAAATCGTGAACAGAGCAAGGACTCCTGAGATGGACCAGTTGTCATGGAGGAGTAGACATCCCCTGTCGACTGCCATGTGCTCCTCATCATGGTCTATTAAAGATATAAATAATATAAAAATAATTTAGTGTGATGATTAAGGCCTAACTCACACTTACTTATTTTCATATTTTTCCTTTTACTAGATCATGATAAGGTAAAAGGAAAAAACAAGTAAAATTGATGCAAAGCATCAAATCGGTCGCAAAAAAATGTAGCATTTTAAAAAGTACATTCACAATTTAAAAAGTATCTATGCTAGGAAAGCACACGGTTTTCAAAGCTGAAATAGTGATCCTTTCTATATCAGACTGCCTTTAAAACAAAATAAATAATAAAAAAAAATAATAGAAATTTAGTGCATTTGCTCATCGAATGGATTCATCAATGTAATAAACTCATTGATAGGGTAGACTTGACTTTACCGGGCCCCAGATCCGCAAGATCTTCGAGCTCATTGGACTATGACGTAACATTTACGTCACTCAACTGATAAGGGTTAAACTTGCACACTTTTCTATGGAACGCCGGGACTGTCTTATATGAAGATTAAATATTATATGCAGTGCTTCCTTTATTATATGCGGTACTATTTTTATTATATGAAGTAGTTTTTACATTATATAGTGTACAACCTCCATTACATGCAGTACTTCTCTCATTATATGATGTAGATATGTCATTATATTATGTACATCTATCATTATATGAAGTGCTTTTAACATTATATGCGGTAGTTCCAACATTATATGCGGTAGTTCTAACATTATATGCGGTAGTTCTAACATTATATGCAGTAAACACAACAATATATTACGTACTTCTCACATTATATACAGTACATTCATCATTATGTGTAGTATTTCTGTTATTATGATGATGCTGATCATTAAATATTATGTCCGGTCCAGTTAGCATTCCGTGCGGTAGATTTTGCATTTCTTTATGATGTAGACACAGTATTATATGCGGTGCTTTCTTCTTTATGATGATGATCTTTCGGAAGCTACCCTTCGGAACTCTCTGTTCAAGGTTCTTCTTTCTATCAACTGTTGAATTTAGTACAATAAAAATACATGCACGTATTATTTATGTCTCTGATTCAAGCAGTGAATTATAAATGCTACATGAACTGATTAAATTGTTTTTAAAAGATAAGAAGTAGGATAATAGAGTAAAATAAAATGCCATCTATTTTATGGTATGAAGTAAAAAGAGAGAGAGAGAGAGAGAGAAGGGGAGTGGAAAAAAAATGAGAGATTTTTTTCTTTCTTGTGAACAATATAGCATTCAAAAAGATTCATTTCATATGTAGGACAATCAATTTCAAAATGGGTAATGAAAAAAAAAATGATGTCTTCGAGTACGCAGGTCTTTAACAGCGAGTTATAGAAAACATTACATTATTTATTTACTTGTATTTAGGGGTGGGGTGTGCTAATTTTTCATAATGTAAAATTACCCTTTATCTCTCAATTTATAGTCTGTCCCACCAAGTTACTGTAAGCACTTTTCGCATAAAATCTCAAAATATATAAATACCTTGGCTTTCAACCCAGTTCCGATCGATAGATCATTTTTTTTCCAACCTTCCGCCGTTTATCCGAACCCTCGAGGTCAACCAGTGTATACACACGGCGGCAAATTCAAAGTCTACGGAGATTTAACATGGTAAACTCGTCCATTGGCGTCTAGATTACGGGGCCGGGAACCAGTTTTCGAAGGGAGTAGTCGTCCTTTGCAAAGTAAATTTCCAAAAAATCGTTAAAAATTCAAGGAATTAATTTAAATTGCTTTTATCGATAATATAACTTTTACTTTGAATTAAAATAAATTTTAACAGCATTTAACAAATTTAATTATAAACTACGAGAAAATAGTCCGAATCTAACGAAGTACAACTTGTGGATAATGGCTGTGGGCATGATGATGCAAGCTTGCCAGGCGCAGTGTTTAAAACGTAAGTTGTTTATATATTCTATGGTACTTTTTGCAGCTGTTGTTGTTTCCTAGCTTATATACACACAAGAAAGAAGTGTCTACAAATGCTAAGAATATAAATATATTTCAAAACGCGTGATATTGCTGACATTAGAACAACAGCCCTAGTGCTCATGGTTAACCGTTCGTGTTCAGTAACGGTCTGAATGTAAGCCCATGTGTGGAATATGAAAAGGGGTGTTTCAGAACACGAATATGGTTAAACAATTAGGTGAAATAATACCAAAAAGAATATAACAGGTAGTTAACTTAGTAACTAAAGTTTTAAAATTTTATTCTTACTTTCATTTTCAATTTTCAATTTATAACATTCCATGTACATACTACATGCATTTGGCAAATAAATAATAAGCTAGAGATCTAAAGTGCATTTTTATTTTTTCCTTATGTGTAGTATCAACACCCTGGGGACATCAAAACAGTTTTCAATAGATGACACATTTTGGAATTATTTTTCAAATCTTTTTATAATATTAAAATGTGCATGTAATTTTTCATCAAGTCTTTGGATTGAGTTCTATAATGGTCATTTATCACAGTACATGCATGCATATTGATGAACTAATTAGCAGAACCAGGCATAAAGTAGATGAATATGCACGTACTGTTTCAGAAAATAATGATTTGTCTTGACCTTGCAGTTTAAATGAGAAAGTAATTATATATGTAGTATTCATGAAAGGAAAACAGAAAAACTAAATAGAAGAACATGTCTGAATAGTTTGATCAGCACAAGAAGTTAAGATAGGCTGAATTATTTCATCTGAGTACAGACTTTAAAATAAAATTGATATACATGTAACATCAATGGGAATCTTCCATTACCCGGTAATACTAGCTGTCATGCACATATTCAGAGTTCAAATTCTCAGTCTGGTCATCTCAAAAAAAAAAAAAAATTTATTGCCCTGTCCCAACCAACTGGCTAAAATGACGCAAAATTTTTTTTTTTTTTATCTCCAAGAAGCAATTAACTTTTTTTGTATTCTGGAGAACACATTATTAATTTATAATTACTGGTAATTTTTCTGAGAATAATTTTCTCATCTACCTATATACCAACCTAATCCTGAGTTGGGAGAGGGCAGGCCTCAACAGCATTGTTTTTTTCTGTAAAGTCCTATACTGCTCAAATGTGAACTTAATTTGAAAATTTCTGTTTCCTTAATCATGTTAATTCCAAGATTTTCATTTAAAGTACTTGTTTTTAAAAACCGTAGAGCATAATTAAAATATTTTTGTTTGATGTACCCTGACACACATTTTTCAAGGTGGGTAGGTACGTATCTTTTTTGGCTTAATAATATTGATCAAATTGATATCAAAGTGTCATTAAAAAATTCCAGACTCGACAGAAATTTATTAATATTTTCAATACACACTGGATATCTAGACAGATGAAATATATATTGTAAAAAAAATATTAATCTAAAATCATCCAAAAGAAATCACATACCACAATTTTAAAAGGAAACAGTATCTATTTCTAATAAATAAAACAATTTTTTTTTTAAATAAAAAATTCAAAGTGCTGAAAAAATGATTGGGTTGGGGTATTTTTGATGGGTCAGTCTGAGTACATCAAAGAAATTTGTTTATATTGTTGCCCTTATTTGCTAGTACTGTATTTGGTTGACTTGAACTTTGACCTACTTTACAAAGATACCCCAGAAACTTTAAGTTAACTAAAGACTTTTTTAAATATTGAGTGATGTATGATGATAATTAACATTAATTTTATACATGTTTATGAGCTCATAAAACTGTTCTTTTAAACTATATGATATTCAGTAAACCACAAAAACTAATATCTTTATTATGAAAATACATTGGGATGGAATCTCACAAAGTGGATCGTGCAATGTGACAATTGCTTTGAAACATGTAACACATGTAAAATGATAAATAATTATTTATGATGATTTCAACTTAATTATTCAGTTGAGGGTTGCATTCTGTATATGCTAGTAGCATAAAAATAGCTGACCACTCTTAGATTATATAGATACATCTTTAAAGAAGCTAAAAGCAGGTGATATATGTGTTCCTTGGAACACTTTAGTTTGTAATGGCTGTACTCTTTTATAACACTAATCTTCCTCTTCTTTCAGCAATGTTAAGCTTGATTTAGCCACTGCATTATAAGGAGAGAAGCAGAAACCCTGACTAAAGTAAAGATGATTTGCATAACAAAGGCAGTAAGTTTACCATATAATATTCAAGATCTTCAAAATATCCCGTCTCTTTTAAATACATGTATTGAGAATGATTTGTTGAAGCTCAGCACCTGTCAGATGTGAATACATGTTACATTTTTCCCTCATCATTCGTAATCTTCTTCCAAAGAACCACTGGCCAGAAAAGTTGAAACTTATGCAGAAGCATCCTGGGGTAGTGTAGATTCTAAATTATTTAAATTATGACCCTTGGGGTAGTGGGACTACAAATAGGGAACCCAACTTTTACATTGAAATATACAAGAAAAATCTATAAAAATCTTCTTCTTTGGCATTACCAGTACTAGGCAAGCAAAACTGAAACTTATGCAAAATCATTGTGGGGTAGTGTAGATTTTAAATTGTTCAAATTATGACCCCAGGGGTTAGGTTGGGTCACAAAAGGTATAACAAGTGGGAAATCTGGTAAAGAACTGCATCGTCAAAGCTATTCAGGTAATTATAAGTGATGTGGCTCATGAGCCTCTTGTTATATAAGTTGTGATATTTTACAGAAAATTTGAGAAAATATTAACTGCAAATCTGTGTGTAAGCACCTGTAATACTGCACTATCTCACCATTTGAAAGAATAAACAAACATTGATAAAAAAAAATGTAATTATAACTGAAGCATAGAATATTTGATTATACACTGTACTTTTATTGCTTACAAAATTATGTTTTTATAGGATGAATAAATCACAAGAGTCCAAAGTTTTGATGACCATGCAGAGTCGAGATATTGAAACAAAGACATGCCTGCACTGTTCACTCAATTTTTCAGAATAACGTGTCAAATTGAAATCCATCTTATGTTGGACTAAACAATCAGGACATTTTTCTGGATCACAGGTTGTAAGTGTTTACATTGTATGAATGAGAAAGATTTTGCTCTTCCTATGTATACCTCAGATTGAAACCTGAAAATGAGAATTGACCAAGTATATGTATTTTTGATAAGTAAACAATTCATATTAATATGATGAGCACAATCTGAATTTTTATTGTATCTTTATATTTCACTTTGCACAAATTTAAAAGTATTTTTATGCACTGAAATCTTTATGACGATTTAAAATGTTTTATCATTAATTTTTTTTCAGGCACAAAGTATTGACAAAATCAAAGATTACCTGGTAGTCTGCAAATGGAGTGATCATTGGATGAGGCAGACAACACCATTTTCCTCGGAAATTTTAGAATAGAGGCAATCTCCATCTTCATAGATGACTGATGTCGACATTTTCTCACTTCTGTTTCATGTCTTTTCTACAGCATGGACTCCAGCATCAGTGGGCACTTGACAATTATTCTTCTTATTTTGTTCTAATATCCTTAAATATAGGATAAACAATTCATTTATCTTTTAAAATATTGTTAAATTTTACTTAATAAAACGATAAAAACAGTGCAAACAAACTGGTTTATCCTATAATCTAAAGCTGTTTTATGGTTCAAGCATTTATAATTTTACAAGACTTATTAAAAATCTGTTAAGGTACTTGGATTCTCAGCCAAGAAGGATAACTCTTTAATTTATAATTTAATTCAGAATCTCAAAATGAATCTTGAAAAATTAAATCTCTTCATGCAACAGTTTTTATTTTATCATGATAATGTTTATAACTTCTCAATGTCCTTTAAGGTTGTTTGAAGTTCTCAGAAAGGTCTTGTAGAAAGTCGAAATGTTAACCTTATATAGTAAAACTCTGTTAAAGAAAAGTCAATGGGACCTATGAAAATACTTTGCTATAACCATAATTTGTTTTATCCGTATAAGGAATTCATTAATTTACATAGCTGGGGATCCAAGGTTACCTCGCTATATCTGTGAATTCGCAATATCTGTGTTCATATCTAGACAAATTTTTGATATAAAATCTCTTACTTAAATATGAATTTTACTCTTAATTCACACAAATAAACAGAAATAATGATTTGACATTTGAGGGCGAGACAGCACCATGACAATGGGCCGAGACAGAGATATCTCAGCCCCTAGGGAGAGACAGCTGTACTCAGGTCCAAGAAAATTATAGTCTTGTTTCCTGTTACCCAACCTACCTTAATTTTTCGCACCTGACCCTACAGTTTTTTAGGTTTGGAAAAAATCTGGAATTTCTGTAATTTCATGTTCCATGTTCTGAACGGTAAACCTGAAAAAAAAAATAATGTATATTCAAGTGGTATTTTACGAAAGACGAATAGGGCCCCATAAAAAAATATTTTTATCTCGTAATTACGAACGTAATAACGAGATAAAACTCGTAATAACGAGATCTTTTCTTGTTATAACGAGATAATTACGAGATAAAAATATTTTTTTATGTGGCCCTATTTGTATTTCGTAGTATTTTATGATACTACCGAGTATATGTTTTAAATATGGACTTTCATAACATACTACTTGAGTCATGCATCAAAAGACAAAATTTAATTTGTAATGAAAATATTGGTCTATGACATGTTTAATTTGGTTTTGTATTAGTTCATATCGAAAATAAAAAGAAATTAAAAAATAAAATAATTTTCCTGCCTACCTACCCAATTTTTTTTCAGGCTGGTAGCAGGAAACAAGATAATTATTTTTTTGGCCTTACAAGGCACTGTCTCACCTAGTCCAAAACATCTGTATCAGAGCTGATATACTACTAGGTATATGATATATGCATGTTTGCGTACTAGGGAACTGTCTATGAATAAACTTACTTTGAAAATTTACAAATACAAAAGGAAAAAAAATTGCTGGGACTCAAAAATCAAACTCAAGAAACCTGCAGTATTTCATACCTTCAATATATATGTATCTGCAGGTACTTATGGCTTAATATGTATAATGTACATGTTTGTGCTTTTCTATCTTGTAGTTGCACCAGGCAGCTATTCAGATTCCTGCAATGAAAATTTTTGTTCTGAAAACTCATAAAAATCAAAAGGCTTTCTGTTAAATTGTTTTATTGAAATAGAGAAAGGAAAAAAATTATAATATATTTTAAAAAATCATAATCCTTCACACTTGCGTTATGTATTTTAATTTTATGTGTATAGGAATATTTTAAATTTTGGTATAATTCTGTTATATTTAAGGTAAACAAAAATGTATATCCTGGGTCTGAATTTACCTAACACCGATACATTACAGGAAAGTTTGGAAGGGCAAGGTCAAAATTCATTGGTGACGTAGTTTAATTGATGCAAACAACAAACGTTGTTTTGCACCGAGATTAAAAATAAAATATCAACGAAGGATTTATGAGTTCAAAGAGTTGGAAGTATAACAAAGTCAAGAAATACTGTGGCATGTGCATGTGAGGACATTACTTGTTCACATACTGTGACATAGAAACGATAATATTTCCATTTCTTATTTTTGTCTCTGTGATAACTCTTTGAAACTTAGCAGAGTTAATTTCTTGATAAACCTGCCGGAATGTAAATTAGGCAAGTCGAAAGGTCAGGAGCTAGGGAGGCCTAATATGCATGCAAATCTCGTGCGCATCTGTCTCTGTGTCTGACGCTAAGGATGCCAAATATGCATGAAAATCTCGTGCGGCTGCCTTTGTGTTTGGCGTCAGTGGGAGAGGGCTATGGAAATTGGCAAGGGAGTCTTCATGTAATTTAAATCTATGTCTCCATTTTTAAAGAGGCTGGGGGTGGCAGCCATTTTCAGACTATTTTGATCTCCTTTAAAAGAAGAGCTCCATATAAAGATATACTAAAATGATCAAATTTTTAAACTAAAATGTATGAATATTTTCTTTGCCAAATGATAGTTGACAGCTTAAGATACCGTATCTAAAAAAATAAGTTAAATCTGGTGGTTAATTTGTGGTTATTTTGTTGACCCCAGCCTCCTTAAATCTACAATTTTATTTCACAGTGAAACGGAAATATAAGGAATCACTGTCTAGTTCGTATAGTATGCCAGGGACATCAACGATAGTGGGAAACATGGGATAATTTAAGCATAACGGGCTTCGCCCGTTATGCAAATTATCCCATGTTTCCCACTATCGTTGATGCCCTGGCATACTACATGTATACGAACTAGACAGTGATTCCTTAAATATGACTTATTTTGACCGTGTGTTACAGTTTTTTAACAAACGTAAAGGAGTTGGATTTATAAGGAAAGCTAAGGTGAAACGTTAAGGTAAGGCAGCAATTATAATTTTTAAAAATCTTAATCCTAGTGATATTACTTTGATTGATCTCTAATGTTACGTGTTAGCTATAAATTATAAAACTAATTTTACTTGAGCTAAATTTGCAGTAGCCTAGCCTCGATTATTCTATCGAAATGTTATGTATGAATTGAGTCATACCTCTGCCTTTATGCAGTGACTAACCCTTTTATGAATCTTTGGTCCCTTGGGTCTCAGTCTGGGTATGAAAGTTTGTTGAAGAAGTAATATTTCTTGTAGTATAAATATATACTTGGAAGTCTCGGGCGTTATAGGTTTTTCGGACGTCGATAACCATAGAGCACTCCCGAACGTGTGTGACGTCATTTCCTTACTGACGACGACGTACGGAAAATTACGAACAATGGATGATCCCCTTCCGAAGTGGTGGCCATTTTGACAATGTTAAATCTCCGTAGACTTTCAATTTGCCGCCGTGTGTATACACTGGTTGACCTCGAGGGTTCGGATAAACGGCGGAAGGTTGGAAAAAAATGATCTATCGATCGGAACTGGGTTGAAAGCCAAGGTATTTATATATTTTGAGATTTTATGCGAAAAGTGCTTACAGTAACTTGGTGGGACAGACTATAAAAGTTATTCAATGTATAAAATAAATCAACTTAAAGGGACCTTAGAACCCCCCCCCCCCCCTCCCCCCGAAAACGCGGTTTCTTGTTAAGTTGGTATAAAAAATGTCATATACATGAGGGTATGACGCATGAGGACCCCCTCTCCCAGGCCGAAATAAATTTTCACATTAAGGAAAGGACTTAAGTTTACGGGGTTTTTTTTCTTGTCAAGAAATATCTGGGTTGGATATTTTTTAACATGAGTGACCCTCTTGGAAAAAATGTTCTAGATCCGCGCCTGTTTTTTTTTTTTTTTTTTTTTTTTTTGAAAATTCACATAAATATCAATATAAAGATAAAATTTTATTCAAATATGTGTGGCAGTTAGCAGTAAGCAGCTGACAGTTGGCAGTAAGCAGTTGGCTGTCGTATATGGCATTCCATACCATTCCCCAAAAGTGTAAAATGTAATTTAAAGAAATCAAAAAATGATCGAGAAAACAAAAAGATCTGTAAAACATTAATATGAAACATGATAGTCCTGATTTTGTTGTCCTTGAACAGACCAAAGAACTTGTAAAAAAAAAAAAATGACTAAATAAGTCTGTTGATATTCTTATTTCATCATTTTTTTTTTTATCAAAAGCTCGTCTTAATTTAGAAATTGTTCGGAAGTAGAACATGCTCTTTCATATCTAATCAATTGGGAGACGTAAACATGTGCAGATGATAGTCATTTTTGGGGGATCAGACATTATCATATTTTACGTAACTGATAAGCAAAGCTTGTGAATCTGATCTATGGAACGCCGGGACTGTCTTATATGAGGATTAAATATTATATGCAGTGCTTCCTTTATTATATGCGGTACTATTTTTATTATATGAAGTAGTTTTTACATTATATAGTGTACAACCTCCATTACATGCAGTACTTCTTTCATTATATGATGTAGATATGTCATTTTATTATTATACAAAGTGTTTTTATTTTTATATGAAGTGCTTTTAACATTATATGCGGTAGTTCCAACATTATATGCGGTAGTTCTAACATTATATGCGGTAGTTCTAACATTATATGCAGTAAACACAACAATATATTATGTACTTCTCACATTATATACAGTACATTCATCATTATGTGTAGTATTTCTGTTATTATGATGATGCTGATCATTAAATATTATGTCCGGTTCAGTTAGCATTCCGTGCGGTAGATTTTGCATTTCGTTATGATGTAGACACAGTATTGTATGCGGTGCTTTCTTCTTTATGATGATGATCTTTCGGAAGCTACCCTTCGGAACCCCCTCTGTTATATTTAGAAAGGTTTATTTGCGTTCTTAGATATGGACATTCTTCATGTTTTTTTTTTTATTTACAAGTGTATTTAGTTTGACAAAAACCACATGTGGCGCAAGTAAACAAAAATGATAATTAATATAGTCACATGGATTTTCTTATATTAATTAAATGCAACACGTATGAAGTTACAAATATTTCTTGTATATTTAACATCTGCTGAATTAAGAATTTCATAAGTTATACATGTATTTTTGAAAAGTGTACAAAATTCACTTTTTAGTTCAGGCGCGGATCCAGAATTTTTTTAGGGGGGGGGGGTGTCACCCCAGTCCAAAAAAATAAAATCCACCCCCCCCCCCGAAAAAAAACGTACAATCGCCTAAATTTCAAATACCTATTACATGGGGGGGGGGTGTCAATGACTTCTAGTTTTTCAAACCTCTGACTTTTCATACCAATTTAACACAAATTCGCGGTTACCAGGGGGCGGGGGTCTGCGATTTCCGAGGGTGGTCCAAGGCTACCTTTTTCTTGCTTTAGTATTTGCAAAGTCCAGGGGGGTGTTTTGACCCTACCCCCTCTAGATATGCGCATGATTAGTTCTTTATAAAGAGGGCACAAACAAATAAAAAATTATGTTCATCTTCAACAACAGTTGATACAATATCTTTCATCTCTTGGGTAACATAATCTGCCAACCTCTATCTTTATTTTGTGGACACTTATTTTCAATCCAGTTAAAAAAGAAAACAAAGATTTTTGGAATTGGAAAAAAATTAAGTATGGTTGAATTTCAAGCTTGTTAAGATTTTGTTGACTTATTAACTAGATTTATCCCTACATTAATTAAACGAATTTCGAAGTCATGTCAATACTTCAGTAGTTTAATTACAATGAGAGAGATGCGCTTATCATTGAAATATTTTTACCATTCCATTGTATTAATTGTTAAACTATGGCATATAAAAAATGTATGATATTCACCGTCTTTAACTGTACTGTATATAAATGATATGTATCAGGAAAAGACATGCGATTTTCAGAGCAGACATTATACACGCGCGTAGTAACACCCTCCCCCTTTTCCTA